CTCCTCCTCCTCTTCCTCCTCTCTTTCTCCTCTCTTCCTCTCTCTCTCTCCCCATCCTCCCCTCTCTTCTTTTCTTCCTCTCTCTCTCTCTCTCTCTCTCTCTCTCGTTCGTCTCATCGCTCTCTCCGTTTAGCATGCAGTCGGCAGCTTTAAAACGGCTCCCCAGCGGTTACCATGGCGACCGACCCATGCCCATATAAGGGGTTTTTCTCTTGTTTCCATCATAGCTCACTCCCCCCATCTCTCTCTCTCTCTCTCTCTATCTCTCTATCTATCTCTCCCTCTCATACATGTATCTGTTCTCTCTTCTACACCTCTCTCATCTCTTTTTCTTCATCTTTCTCTTCCTCTCTCTCTCTCTCTCTTTCTCTTTCTCTCTCTCTCTCTCTCTCTCTCTCTCTCTCCTTATCTCCTACTTCTTCCTCTCTGTCTGTTTACTCTGTTGTATCTCTCTCTCTCTTTCTCTCTCTCTCTTTACTGTATTGTATCTCTGTCTCTCTCTCTTTTTCTCTCTCTCTCTCTTTACTATGTTGTATCTCTTTCTTTTTCTCTCTCTCTTTACTATGTTGTATCTCTTTCTTTTTCTCTCTCTCTTTACTATGTTGTATCTCTCTTTTTCTCTCTCTTTACTATGTTGTATCTCTGTCTCTCTCTCTTTCTCTCTCTCTCTCTTTACTATGTTGTCTCTCTCTCTCTCTCTTTACTATGTTGTATCTCTGTCTCTCTCTTTCTCTCTCTCTCTCTTTACTATGTTGTCTCTCTCTCTCTCTCTTTACTATGTTGTATCTCTGTCTCTCTCTCTCAGTTGCTCTCTAAGACTTCTTCTCTTGTTCCCTTCCCTTTCCTTCTCTCTCTCTCCTCTCTTCTATCTCTTTCTCCCTACTAACCCCCTCACTCTCTCTGTCTCTCTCTGCTTGCATTTTCCTCTCTCTCTTTCTCTCTCTCTCTCCTTATCTCCTACTTCTTCCTCTCTGTCTCTATCTGTTTACTCTGCTGTTATATCTCTTTCTCTCTTTCTCTCTCTCTCTCAATTGCTCTCTAAGACTCCTTCTCTTGTTCCCTTTCCTTCTCTCTCTCTCCTCTCTTCTATCTCTTTCTCCCTACTGTCCCCCTCACTCTCTCTCTCTCCTTCTCCCTCTTCTTGCATTTTCCTTCCTCCCTACTGTCTCTTCTCTCTCTGTCTTTCTTTCTCTCTGTCTGTTTCTATTCTGTTTCTCGGTCTGTGTTTGTATTATATAATACATTATACAAATCTGTTCTGTACTTGGGAGAGTGGATGTTACCTAACGCACGCACACACACACACACACACACACCGACACACACACCGACACACACACACACACACCGACACACACACACGCAGGGATGAGTTTCATTTTTTTATTTGTTATTTTAAAAAGTAAAACACTTAAAGGGATAGTTCAGGTTTTTTGACATAAATCTGCGTCCGGTGAGCTGAGATCCTGGCCGGTTTTGGTGCTGAGGAAAGTAGTTCGGCAAGTTGGCTGGGGACAGTCTAATAAAGCGTTTTTCTTCTCAAAACAATATGTGTTCAAAAGAGTGATACATTTGCACCACAAAACCATCGTCCTCTAAAAAGTCAGACCTCATTATCGCTTGGCGCTATTTTCTCTCCGTTCGTATCACTGCGCGCGGCCGCCAGGTGACACCCGCGCCTGGTTCACTTTGTTAACTGCTTGAAATGTTAATGACAACATGTTTAACTACGACACCGATGATGAAGAAATTGATTTTAGCACAGAGGCAATGGGATATGTTTTTGAACCCGAATATACGTCTGTTACAGGAAAACGGTGAAATTTGTGCGGAGATTCAGACAGATTTTTGTTGTTACAGCCCGGAAAATCGCAAGTTCGCACCATTTTTTAGATATATATAGTTATGTATCTTATACAAGCTTATATACCTATCACGCTAGCTCTGACATTAGCTGTCTCGCGTCGCGGCGTGACCGGTCTGAACAAGTAAACACTGCCGAACAACTGAAGAAAATGATTAATCCGTGCGCGGCTGTCACCTGGCGGCCGTGCGCAGTGATACGTACGGAGAGAAAATAGCGCCAAGTGATTATGAGGTCTGACTTTTTAGAGGACGGAGGTTTTGTGGTGCAAATGTATCACTCTTTTTAACGCATATTGTTTTGAGAAGAAAAACGCTTTATTATACTGTCCCCAGCACAACTTGCCGAACTACTTTCCTCAGCACCAAACCCGACCAGGATCTCGGCAAAACCTGAACCATCCCTTTAAAATAGGAATGAAACAGTCCAGCCTTTTCTGATGCAAAATGTTAACCAATTCCAAAGCAGAAACTGAAAATGACAATAGTTTCTCTCTCCTCTCCTCTCCTCTCTACCCCCTCCTCCTCCTCTATTCCATTTCTTTTTCTTCCTCTCTTCTCTTCTCTCTCTTTTCTCTGTCTCTCGTATAAATGTTATTTAAAAATGAAAACAACGTAAACTTAAATTAAGAATGCAACTATCTTTCTCCTTTTGCTCTCTCTCTCTCTCTATCGTTTTCTCTCTCCTCTACCCATCCTCTCCCTTTCTTCCTTCTTCCCCTCTAATTTAATTTCTTTCTCTTACCCTCTCTCATCTGTCTCTCTCTCTTTCTTTTTTGTCTTTCTACCTCTTTATACCTCTGCTCTCTCCTCTTTCCTTTCTCTCTCTTCTTTCTTCTTTCTCTCTCCGACTTCCCATTTCTATCTTTCTATCTATCTATCCATCTCTTCTTCACACCTCTCCTTCCCCTTTTCTCCCTTTTCTCTCTCCCCTCCTCTATTGTTCTATCTCTTCTCTACCCAATCCCTTCTTCACACTTCTCCAGCCCCTTTAGGCCCTCCTCTGTTCTGTTTCTTTTCTTTCCTCTTTCTCTTTCTATCTCTTTATCTCTCTCACTCTTCTCTACACATCCCTTCTTCACACTTCTCCGTCCTCATTTCTACCTCCTCTCTTCTTTTCTCTTCTCTCTATTTCTCTTTCTACCTCCTGTCTCTCTCCTCTACCTATCCCTTCTTCTTCACACCTCTCCACCTTTTTCTCTCTGTATCCTCTCTATCTCTTCGTCTCTCCTCTCCCCATCCCTTCTTCACACCTCTTCTTTCCCCTTTTCTCTCTCCACTCTTCTTTTCTTCCCTCTCTATTTCTCTTTCTGTCTCTACCTCTTTCTTCTCTCCCCATCCCTTCTTCACACCTCTCCTTCCCCTTTAGGCCCTCCTCTGTTCTGTTCTTTTCTTTCCTCTTTCTATCTCTTTATCTCTCTCACTCTTCTCTACACATCCCTTCTTCACACCTCTCCGTCCTCATTTCTACCTCCTCTCTTCTTTTCTCTTCTCTCTATTTCTCTTTCTACCTCCGTCTTTCTCCTCTACCTATCCCTTCTTCTTCACACCTCTCCACCTTTTTCTCTCTGTATCCTCTCTATCTCTTCATCTCTCCTCTCCCCATCCCTTCTTCACACCTCTTCTTTCCCTTTTCTCTCTCCACTCTTCTTTTCTTCCCTCTCTATTTCTCTTTCTGTCTCTGTACCTCTTTCTTCTCTCCCCATCCCTTCTTCACACCTCTCCTTCCCCTTTTTCTCCCTTTTCTCTCTCCCTCCTCTCTCTATTGTTCTATCTCTTCTCTACCCAATCCCTTCTTCACACTTCTCCAGCCCCTTTAGGCCCTCCTCTGTTCTGTTCTTTTCTTTCCTCTTTCTCTTTCTATCTCTTTATCTCTCTCACTCTTCTCTACACATCCCTTCTTCACACTTCTCCATCCTCATTTCTACCTCCTCTCTTCTTTTCTCTCCTCTCTATTTCTCTTTCTCTCTCTGTCTTTCTCCTCTACCTATCCCTTCTTCTTCACACCTCTCCACCTTTTTCTCCCTTTTCTCTCTCCCTCCTCTCTCTATTGTTCTATCTCTTCTCTACCCAATCCCTTCTTCACACTTCTTCGTCCTCATTTCTACCTCCTCTCTTCTTTTCTCTTCTCTCTATTTCTCTTTCTACCTCCGTCTCTCTCCTCTACCTATCCCTTCTTCTTCACACCTCTCCTTCCCTTTTCTCCCTTTTCTCTCTCCCTCCTCTCTCTATTGTTCTATCTCTTCTCTACCCAATCCCTTCTTCACACTTCTCCAGCCCCTTTAGGCCCTCCTCTGTTCTTTTCTTTCCTCTTTCTCTTTCTATCTCTTTATCTCTCTCACTCTTCTCTACACATCCCTTCTTCACACCTCTCCGTCCTCATTTCTACCTCCTCTCTTCTTTTCTCTTCTCTCTATTTCTCTTTCTACCTCCGTCTCTCTCCTCTACCTATCCCTTCTTCTTCACACCTCTCCACCTTTTCTGTCCCCCTCTCTGTATCCTCTCTATCTCTTCATCTCTCTCTCCCATCCCTTCTTCACACTTCTCCAGCCCCTTTAGGCCCTCCTCTGTTCTGTTCTTTTCTTTCTTCTTTCTCTTTCTATCTCTTTATCTCTCTCACTCTCCTCTCCCCATCCCTTCTTCACACTCTTCTTCCCCTTTTCTCTCTCCACTCTTCTTTTCTTCCCTCTCTATTTCTCTTTCTGTCTCTGTACCTCTTTCTTCTCTCCCCATCCCTTCTTCACACCTCTCCTTCCCTTTTTCTCCCTTTTCTCTCTCCCTCCTCTCTATTGTTCTATCTCTTCTCTACCCAATCCCTTCTTCACACTTCTCCGTCCTCATTTCTACCTCCTCTCTTCTTTTCTCTTCTCTCTATTTCTCTTTCTACCTCTGTCTTTCTCCTACCTATCCCTTCTTCTTCACACCTCTCCACCTTTCTCTCTTAACTCTTTATCTCTCCTCTCCCCATCCCCTCTTTACATGTCTCCTTCTCTTTTTTTCCCCTCTCCTCTCTCCTCCATCCCTCTATCCCGGCTCTCGTTCCTCCCCCGCGCGTGGTTGTTTTTTCGGTGTGTAAATGTGCAGCGCGGCGGTGCGAGTGTCTCACTGCGGTTTGTTTTGGTTTTTTTGTCTCTCAGCCTGAAAACCTGCTGCTGGCCAGTAAGATGAAGGGAGCCGCCGTGAAGCTCGCAGACTTCGGCCTCGCCATCGAAGTGCAGGGAGACCAGCAGGCGTGGTTTGGTAAGAAAACACAAAGAATTAAAACACACAAACACACATTCGCAATATTACAGTACCGTAAGTTTTGGACTATAAGCGCAGTGTCGGGGAGTAACAGATTACATGTACCGGAGTTACGTAATCAGAGTATAAATGATGAGTAACTGTATTCGGTTACAGTTACTGTTTCAGTGAGTGGTAATTGGATTACAGTTACTTTGTTGAAATAAATGGATTACATGGCGGGAGTTTCCTGTTTTCACATTTTGGGCTAAACCAGGACTAAACCAGGACTAACCCAGGACTAACCCAGGACTAAACCAGGTCTAACCAGGTCTAAACCAGGTCTAAACCAGGTCTAAACCAGGTCTAAACCAGGTCTAAACCAGGATTAAACCAAGTCTAAACCAAGTCTAAACCAAGTCTAAACCAGGACTAAACCAGGACTAAACCAGGACTAAACCAGGACTAAACCAGGTCTAAACCAGGTCTAAACCAGGATTAAACCAAGTCTAAACCAGTCTAAACCAAGTCTAAACCAGGACTAAACCAGGACTAAACCAGGACTAAACCAGGTCTAAACCAGGTCTAAACCAGGTCTAAACCAGGTCTAACCAGGTCTAAACCAGGATTAAACCAGTCTAAACCAAGTCTAAACCAAGTCTAAACCAGGACTAAACCAGGACTAAACCAGGACTAAACCAGGACTAAACCTAAACCAGGAATAAACCAGGACTAAACCAGGACTAACCCAGGTCTAGCCCAGGTCTAAACCAGGACTAAACCAGGTCTAACCCAGGTCTAACCCAGGTCTAACCCAGGACTAAACCAGGTCTAAACTAGGTCTAAACCAGGTCTAAACCAGGACTAAACCAGGACTAAACCAGGACTAAACCAGGACTAAACCAGGACTAAATCAGGATTAAACCAGGACTAAACCAGGACTAAATCAGGTCTAAACCAGGACTAAACCAGGACTAAACCAGGTCTAAACCAGGTCTAAACCAGGTCTAAACCAGGTCTAAAACAGGACTAAACCAGGTCTAAAACAGGACTAAACCATGCTCTGAGGACCATGTCTCCTCCGCTTCTATCAGTAATATTTTTAATTTGGTTCAGTAAAGACTGGATTTTTTATTTTCTTTTATCAGACAAAACATCTTATGTGAAGATTTCCTCGTCTTTGCTTCTCTACAGCAAATCAAGTAATCCAAAGTATTCAGATTACGTTACTCACTTTCAGTAACTTTATGGATTATGTTACAATCTACATTTTGGTGTATGTAATCTGTAATCTGTAGGGGATTACATTTTAAAAGTCACCTTCCCAACACTGACTATAAGACAGACCGGATTATAAATCGTAATATCAATAATGTTGAATTCTCTCGTCTATTTTCATACATAAATTGCACTGGATTATAAGGAACATTAATCAAAACAAACGGACGACACTTGAGACTGATCCTTAGCCCAGGCTCCACGATCCATTTGCAGATCGTTGCGTAATTCGCCCAACGTTGCCTCCCTGTCTTGATGAATGTGAATTATGAATGTGAATGTGGGTGGATAATTTTAAGTTTGCTTTTATTTCCTACTGGGAGGACTCAAATATACATTGAGTTATAATGTGTTTAATGCAGCTTTGTGCACATTTGTTTACATTTTACAGAAACAAAACTTAAAATTACGTGGCAAACTTGCATAAACTATAAGCGCTGAAAAAAACGGCTCTCTCCTTGTGCGCTGATGCAGTTCAGCTTCTGTTGGACTAAAGAACACGACAATCCATCAAGCGGCGCGGCTTCATAATTACCAAAGTACTAAAACATTTTGACAGATTTTTGAGCACCGTGTACCACATAAAATCAGTTCAAGGTCAGTAAGCGAAACCAAAATTAATACATTCGGCGCACTGTCGATTTTTGAGAAAATTAAAGGATTTTAAGTGCGCCTTGTAGTCCGAAAAATACGGTACATGTATTTATAGTTAAAACTAGGTCTGGGAGTTGGTTCTGAAAGGTGCATTGTGTAACTTTTCTGGTGGAGGTTCAGTCAGATGCTTTTCTCTATGGAGATGTTATTGCTTTGTCTGGAATGTTTCACAGTGTGGCGTTAAACCTTTTTATCTTCATGGAGACCAAACCAGACCAAGTTACAGGTCAAATCTGTGGAGAGGCGACTCCGCTCACAGTCAGAATGCCTGTTTTTCTAAGTGTTTTTGAGCTATAAAACCACCTGTAATTGAATAAATGTAAGTTAGAGCTGTTTAATGTCACACTGTGGAACATTCCGGACAGAGAAATTACTATAGAAACAAGCAGATGACGGACCCTCCACCAGAAAAGTTACACCATGCACCTTAAAAGATCCTAAAGTACACAAAACAGAGGCGGTGCTACAATTAGGCAAAAGTAAGCGTCTGCTTAGGGCCCCCAAACCTGGAGGGGCCCCCAAACAATTTGCCCTCAGTGCCACTAATGATTTTCTCTCAATATGACATTAAATGAGAGTATTTTACTTTTAACAATAATCATAAGAAAAATAATAATAATCATATGTAATGGATGTAATTGTACTAGGAAAAAAATTAAAAATACTTTCAGTTCTGGATTTGTAGTAGACTACCTAACTAATAAGGCACGTTTCCAATCCAACATAATTCAAATAAATAGAGATGTGTGTGTCTCAAGAACAATGGGGAAAAGGAGACAATAAATATATAAAATAAATAAATAATTAAAAACATAAATAAATAAAAATATAATAAAATAAATACATAAATAAATAAAATAAAATAAATTAAATTTAAATTAATAAATAAAAAGTAACTAACTAACTGTGCATTATAGTGAGGGCCCCAAACTCAAGTTCGCCTAGAGCCCCCTAAATTTCTAATTCCACCACTGACACAAAATTGATTCTTGTGAGCTTCAACTCGTTATAATGTTGTTACCTCCTCAAAAACAGACCTGGAGTTGTGTTTTGTTTCATTCACACATGTTTAACACACAAACCTGCATATTTAGTTCTTCTTCTGAGTTCTTCTCTCAAACAGAAAACACTGTTCCACCTTGTGATGTCGGAAGTGCTTGACTTTGTTTTTAAACTCCATATAGCTTCACTAGAATTGGATCATTTTCTACCTAGAATTACCAATCTCTACTGAACTAAAGGTAAAAGGAAGCTGAAATCTTATCGGTTCATGACATCACAAGGTGGAATAGAGCATTTTGAGCTTTGGAGATATAGACAGACGAATAATAAAGGGTTACTCAAACATGTGTGAATTAAACAAAACAAAACACAGCTCCAGGTCTGTTTTTGATGAGGTAACAGCATTATAACATGGATTAAATCTCACTGGAGTCAATTTTGTGTAATATACGACCTTCAACTGTAATCATAATGTGTCACACTTGCACACATAAACATGCAATAAGTAATGAGTAATAATAATGACACCTTTGGATCAAACTTGTTTTAACAACTTGAAATAATAGCTCTTGTTGAATGATACGTCGCTTCCATGTTGAGTCCTGACTTGCCCATTTTGAAATCTTAAACATCTTTTATCAGTATGCTGGGCTGGGCTCGGCCTGTTCTCGGTTCAGACGGTTCTTGTGAGTTGAACAGAAAGTACAGAAAATATAAAAATGGGCTTAGCAGTGCCACGGTCAGGGAGAATTCCAATGTCTAACTTCTGTGCGTTAAAACAAGTAGTTCCGGCAACAGCCAAATCACTGTTTTATATCACTGCTCTGCTGCCATCGCCATGACATCACCATAGCGACGGGTAAACAAATGGTTCGGTTTGTTTATCCGTCCGTCTCCCACTCGGATGTGACGTCATGTCCACACGTCAAGCGTTTTATCATGTTTCACGTTGTCCGATTTGAAGAAAAATGTGGACCCCATCCGCAGAGCTGTTACTGATGTTGTTTATCTTCTGTTAGTGACCCTCGGGACGTTTAGCAACACCCGTTTAAAACAAGTCTGTGTTCAATATTGGCCTCACCACGACACCGCCTGCCAAACCCACAGGCAGTGATGCAGATGCAGTAAAGTATTGCAGTGACACAATGACTGGAATTATCATTTAAACCTCCAAACCGTCCAAACACAATGAAAACACAAACACAGTTCATACTTAAAAGTGACACTGGGCGCAGCCGTCTTGAGCCCCGTCCACACTAGTACGTATTCGAGTCGTTTTCGTTGCGGCTGCAGTGTTCGTCCACACTAATCCGATTGAAAACGGCTCCAGAGACGGAACGATCTGGTGCCGCCGGCTCCCACGAATTCATCTGAGTACAGATCTGATCCGGCACAGTGTGGACGCCTGAAAACACCGCGACACACAGACCTACATCAGCGTATCAAAGTAATTCACCGCCAAAACGCTGAGAGGCTAGAATATATTCATATACCGTATTTTCCGGACTATTAGGCGCTCTGGATTATAAGACGCACTGTTATTAAATGGTCTATTTTCAAACTTTTTTCACAAATAAACTGCATCAGACTTTAAAGGAAACACAACAGTGTGATGGAGTGGTTTTGTTTGTTTGTGGCGTTCACGGTGACTCTGGGCTTTGTCAGTTGTGGCGTGTAGGGAGTTGCTGTCTGGATCAACGGATTGTCGCGTGTTCGCAGTGACTCATGTTCAGTCGTGTCTAGAAGTGGCACGTCGCACTCGCTTTTTCGTTCGTTCCTCCGTTCCGTTCCTCGTGGCGTGGAGTGATGAGTGTGTCTGTGGGTGTTTTTCGCTGTGCGGTCGCTGTCTGCTCCGTGTGTTGCGTGCGCTGCGGGTGGTGCGGCTTTGTAGTTTACTGAATCGTACTGGGACCCGAGTGGATTCGTGTATAGAGCGCTTTTTTGATGCGGTTAGAAGCTTAAGAGCTCGTCTAATGACCCGGAAAATACGGTATACTGTCTATGTGTACGACCTGCAGACGTATAATCTCTGAAAAATTTAACATGAACCATCTCCAACGTAACAGAAACACAGAACAGACTCA